AGCAGGGAGCACATCACGCAGAGGGTCAGGGGACAGAGCTGGCTGTCCCCTGGTCTGCCACCGTCCCCCTGCAAGACCCTGGGGTGTCCCAGTCCCACCAGGGAAAACCATTCCCTCCTCCCCTGCAACTCCCAGCCTGTGAAAGCTGCACAGGTCAGGGGGTCCTGAGGGTCCAGCAGCCCCTCCCAGCATCCCCTCCCAGCTTCTTTTACCCTTTTACCCAAGGGTAAAAGAAGCCTGGAGATCCAGCTGGGAATGGAGCAGGGCCAGAGGGACCGGCCATCTCCAGAACCATCGCTGGGGAGAGGGGCTGCCTTGGGTGGGTGCCCCCACGCAACCCCATTCCTCCATTTTCTCCCCCACCCCAGGTGATGGGGAGCTCAGGGAGACCCCTCAGGAAGGGTCCAGGTATCCCGGCCAGGGTGGTCAGGGGTCACCTTACCTTGGTGAGAGATTTGAGCCCCAGCGCTGTGACAACTGCCCCTGTGGTCGCGCTCACATAGGCTGTCCCCAGCTGGCTGCAAGGGCAGGAGGTGACACGGATGAGCCAGGGTCCCCCCAGTTTCCCAAAGAAAGGGGACATCATGCCCTTCAACAGCACCAGGACACCTGGGTTCCTCTCTCCCACCAACAGCCCCATCTCTGGCTGCGCCAGGTCCCCATCAGCCCATCTCGCCCCCTCCCCAACTCTTCAAGAACTACTCAAGACATCCCCCCTGGCATTTTGGGGTGCCCGGGTCAGAGGGATGCTCACCTGGGGGTGATGGGCGCATCCCCGCTGCGGTTGGTGTAGTTGACGATGGCGTTGAAGGACTGGTTGACCCACTGCCAGAAGAGCACGGCCGGCGTGGTCCTACCAGAGAGAGGATGTCACCCATGCTCCATGGGTGCACTGCAGGGTAGGGGACACGTGTCCTCTCCTCATCCCAGGACCTGGGGTGAGGACGGGACGGGGTGAGGACGCGACACGGTGCGGATTGAATGGGTACCTGTAGAAGGTCAACATGCAACCGGTGATGGTCATGTTCATGGGGACCTGGGCGGACATGCGCCCTACGAGGAGCATCTTCTCGCCCGTGTCGGGGTGGAAAGCCGAGTCATAGATGTACTTTGCCCGCCAGAGCTGGTCCTCCGTTAGACCCGGGGGTACCGTGCCCGCCCTGCCGGGTGAGCGCAGCACCTGTTGGGGGACCCTCTGCCAGCATCCGAGTCCTACCTGGTCCCTCATCCCATGTGGGGTAGCTGGGTGATGCCTTGGGGGGACACCCACC